AACGTCCCAGCCAGTTAAGACTGAATTCACAACGGACGATGGACGGCAGACTTTCTGATCTCAAAACCTTGAGGTGTCTATAGTCCGTTTGCAGCAAAATGGCACCTATCCATCATCACGTTCAACCGACAGTAGAAGTGATGTTTGAAAAGTGACACCGGAAAAGTTAATAAGAAGGGCCCCACACCAACTCGCATCCTCATTTTGAATATTGGACATGACACACACAAAATGTCAAAGAAACTATCATATAACATAGAAACATATATAGAGACGTTTAACAACTAATTATAAGATCGTTTTTTTCCAAGATTTTGATTCGTCGATGGCATATTGCTGCGGACAGACTGAAGGTCATCTGTCACAGTGCTATAAGGCATTAAACAGAGATAGAACCATATAATCTCCATATGAAAAGTAAAACTGTCCCTTCCATATATTTGTATTTATGTGACTAATTGGATAACCGAACACATTTTTTCCCTATAAACAGTATATTGTTCTTACCTCAGCGATGTTGACACAGCCTGTGTGGCTACAGGTATGCCGGACGACCAACTGACGTATTGGCGACTCGCAACGGAGTGCTTGAATGTTAACACCTACGTATTCTGACGTAAAGCTACCGACAATGTAGATATGGAGTATGCATGCATGGTAGGCTTAATAAAGGAAACAATCAAATATTACATTGATACCTTTGTTACCATGAACACAGATACTTGATCAGACACCAAGAAAACAACTCTCATGCACCAGGCTATTCTTTGTTTGGGCTTGCTGAAGTTTGAAGGAACTGAACAATGGCAAATGTAACTGACAGCTAACTGAAATGCATTATCAAATCTACCGAACCCATGAGAGTGACACTGTGTTTGTAAGCTTGGTTAATGATTTAATGCGCATTTTATGTACGGCACACGTATTATGGCATCCTTTGAATTTTTCAGTATCTGATGTTGATTTTCCCTTAGTTGCGTGAGTATTTTGTATTGCAGATCGTGAATAGATTCGGGATATTTGAACAGGATGTGGACAAGGTGGTCTCATTGCGTGTTTGTACTTAATGTCTGCAGGTTATCAGCCCTTGAGAGGAGATATAAATCATATTATGGATTGACTAAGGAAATAGTTTTAAAGGCATTATAGTGCCCCAAAACGTCAAAATGATTTAAATTTTCAAATATGTTGAACATAAATCATTAGAATTACGAACTGGAACACGCGATAGAGTCGAGTTCTTCCCTGTCGTTTACTTAAATTGTGCCTGGAGCAGTGACACTGGCCTTGTCTCGCCAGGATTGCGATACGCACAGGTAAGGTGGAATTGGGTTTAACGTCGCGTCCAAGATTATTGTTCTTATATACTGACGTGCATGCACGTCTGTGTGGCTGCTTGTACTAGCCCGCAGTGATGCTGTTTTATAGTGCTAGCCCACTGAGACACCATGCCGCAGTTTAAGATGAATACCCCACTCAGACACACACAGCATACTGACTCCGAGCCGACCAGGCCTTGTTTTATCTCCTTAATGCAGACCGCCATACAGGGTAACAGCAAGTACCGTCTTTTAACGTCTTTTGGTATGACGCGGCCGGGGATCGAACCCCGGACCATCCGCTCTCCGGGCGGACGCTCTACCACAAGACCACGGAGGCGGTTAAGTTGTATATTAACATGAGTGTCCTTACCAATGATGGCACCCAAATATGTAACAAGTGGTTCTATCTTATTTTCAATACGCCAGTCATATTGAAAAAAAGTAGTGCCACGACATTGTAGCGCACCTGGATATGACGTCAACAGATTAAAATGTCAACTGAGACAGATACTAAAACAAAGTTGCTATCAGCATTTATATCCCAATATTTTCATACACTCTGAGGAATAAAAACCAACACTAAAATCATAATGATTATTTTGAACAACATATGATGTCATAAATTAATACATGCCAAAGTTCAGCTTCCACTGTCTGGCATTTCAAAAAAGAATCTTGTTACAGAGCTTAATTAGTATGCCGTTTGAGACAATTTAAGAGCTTTCAATTTGTTAAAACGCACAGAATAAGTCTCATGACGAACTAAACATATACAAAATTTCATTATATTTTGAACCAAAATTATTTATATTAATGGTTTTCCAATATTCTGAAATGTGAGGAGGAATTTGTTTGGTCAATAGGAGGGACATGGAAGGGACATAACTCGTAATAGCCACTGGTGGCGGTACGGCCGAGCCAACTTGAAGGAATCCAGCCTGGTTTGGCAAGGGTGGAAAATGGAGTTTTATAGTCAGATAACTCCCTTGCCTCGGGAAGATGCTGTCGCATGGCAGGATTACTACTGTGCGGCGTCAGACAAACACTTACTTATTCATGCAAATTGTGTGAGTGGCGGTTCTACCGGTACGGCAGGATACGCTCACACTTCACCTGACCACCTGGAGTGATCACTGATTTTCAGTGATCCATTCGTTTAATTTTGTATCGTCATTTAGCTTCTTTTGGATTCTGTTTCGGTGGATAATTGACAAATTGGTTATTTATTATCTGTTGACGTGTTATATTTCTTCTTCTGGTATATGTCGGTCCACCTACACTATCCGATAGACATGAATATCATCCAAGTTCTGTACTATTGGAGAGAGCAAATCTGCTCTTTTTTCGTCTGACAATATTATATATTGTCTATCGTCAATGTATTATTCATACTCAGGACATGATTGTGACACTTGAAATAGATAGATGATACTTCGATGACACAAGGGATTCTATGAGCAGCTGTTATCTACTAGCTGTCGCATCTTACGTTGGTGGCATGGTTTGTTGGCATGACAACGTCCGCCGGCGTCCATGTTTGGTCGTACATGCATGACATCAAAATGAGTTCATTATTGCCACATGTTGAGAATCTTTACTTGTATATTCCAGTCAGTGAATAATTAATCGGATATGATCCTGCGATCAGAGTTCTTAGACACCTTTTAAAACATAGTATGACATCCAGTTCTTCTGTGTAGGATTAGTGAGTGAGTGAGTGAGTGAGTGAGTGAGGGAGGGAGGGAGGGAGGGAGGGAGGGAAGCGAGCGACTACCTCGGGCGTTGCCCGTCATACGAATCACCGGATTGTCTGGTCCAGACTCGGCTACATAGAGGCCGTCGTCATGTAACTAGACTAATGCTGAGTGTGACGTTAAATAACAGTGGGTGTGGTTTTATGCCTCTTTTAGCAATATTCCAGCAATATTACGGCGGAGGACACCAGAAATGGGTTTACGGCCAGACGAGCAAATGAGGTAACTACTGGACTACAAAGCAGTCCATATTTAACATCAAAGAAACATCAATCAGAGAGCGTTGGTGGGGTAGTCTTGTTGGTAAGGCGTGTGCTAGTCATGCCGAAGGCCCGGGTTCGAATCTCCACATGAGTACAACGAGTGAAGGCGGCACGAAACCACACTCACCCACTCATTCACGTTACCGCTCGTTTCGTCAACACAGAGATATTACAAATAAGGAAATAATATAAGAAAAGAAAGTTAATCAATCAGTGGAAATGTTCGAAACAACAGCAAATGAGTGAGTGAGTGAGTTGGGTTTAACGCCGCTTTTAACAGGTTTCCAGTTACATCGCGGCGTGTCAGCTCAATGTGGGAGGAAAGCCCGAATTGATGCAGGTCTCACACGTTTACTACTTCGGCGAAACCCACGAACACGGGTTGGTGCTGACAAACCTAGAAACATAATCGGGGCGAACCGGGATTCGAACCCACAATCATAGGTTTCTGGCGTGCCCAAGAGACGCAACTCTGCACAGCGAATCGCGGCGCTTAAGACGACTGGGCCACCCGTGCCACCAACAGCAAATGACACTTGCTGATATAAACTTCCTTTGCATTTTTCGGATATGTCTGTTTCAGGTCTGTTTGAGTGTTTGATTGTATAAACCTATTCACAGAGCCTTACCACACGATTCTCTTAGCGGTCTCTTACAACCAGCAAAGTTGGGTGGGAACCTATATTCTTACCAGGAATCTCCAACTAGTGCCACACCAGCACTAAGAGTATATTTGGATACACAGTGAAACTAATGGATGCTTACTGTTGTGAAAGTCTACATATAAAGTAAGTGATTGTATAATTTACATTTGTTTACTGTTAAACTTATTATACCGTTTTGATAATAAGGATTCCTGTAAAAACGGAACGCCTCACAATATATAACTTTTTGTTGTTGCCGTTGCCGTTGCCGTTGTGTAAAATAACTGTGTGGACATGTACTAAGTCTTGAAACAAAAACTTCATTTATGCCATATTCCCAGGATTAGAGCTACTGTATCTATGTTAAATGCGCTGCTCTTTCGTTGCACAGGATGTGGGTGTTCAGTTGCAGTAATATATATGTCCTTCTTGCACTCAGGGTGCTGATGTTGGAATGCAGTGACTTGTATGTATATGCCCTTCCGGCATTCCGGATGTAAGTGTTCAAATAGCGGGACAAATATGTTGTTCAGGCTACCTTGATATTAATAGTCAAATACAGACATACTGTGTCTTTCATCAGAGAAGGGCTGCAACATCGTAACCATATTGGGATGGTTGAACAGAAGCAAGTTTAAGCCAAATTCACAACGTATGATGGATAGCAGGCACCTTGATGACAAAACTGACATTGCAAGACGCGTCTACAAGAAATAGATGTGATGTTTGAAAAGTGACACCAAAAAGTGAAAGTTAATAAATACCTCACACCAACTTACATCTTAAATTTAATTGTTTAATTTAATTTTATTGCCCAAAACAATGTCAAATATCTATAATATAACACAGGGACGATTGAGACAAATATTTATATGACAGTTCGCTTAACACTCTTTTTTATTCAAACTTTCGGAGCCATAAATATTTGTATTTATGTGACTAATGCTACAGAATAAACATAAGCGCATAAGACTACAAATGTCTTCCTGTTAAAACAAACAATAAACATGTTCTTACCTTATTGACATAGACTGGGTGGCTGTTATGCTAGACGAATAACTGACGTGTTGATGAAACCGCCGATGCTCGAATGTATACGTGTTGGTATTCTGACACTAACATGGCTGCAAAGGAGATGGTATGTAGGTAAATATGTGCTTAAGGAAACAAATATTAAAGGGATGCCTTTGTTACCATCAGCAGCGGTATATATTTTATCAGCAACCAAACGAAACAAACTCTCATGCAACTTTGTTAAGGTTCGCTGAAGAAATTATTGTTTGAAGAACCCAAACAATGGCAAATGTAACTGACAGCTAACTGAAATGTATTATCAAATCTACTGAACACACTTTGTTTGGTAGCTTTGTTAAATATTTAGTTCTGATTTTAAGTACGACACTCATATTATGGATTTGCTTTGAATGTTTCGGTATCTGAATTAAATTGTCTCTGTGTTACGTTGGCATTTTGTATTGCAAGTGAAGAATGGACCCTTGATGCTTGAACAGGGCGCGTGTATGCTTGTGTGTGTGTGTGTCTGTGTGCGTGCGTGCGTGCGTGCGTTTGTACTTGAATGTCTGCAACTTATCAGGCCTTCGGGGCATAAAGTGTGATGTACCCTGGGTTTATTTCGCCTTTGTAGACATAGACTCACATACAGGGTACATCATAAGATATACCCCTCGAGATCGGTTGACAACGTCAATAGTCAATATTAGTTTTGTGTGTAGGCCTTGTTTGGCCCATATACAAGAAATGCAATGCGAAAAGTACAATGTGAAACACAATACATGGATTTTACGACGTCATGTCCTTTTTTGTGTGCATAATAAACATAATATTGTAGACGTTTTAATAAAACAGTACAAACAAACTGAGTTGTACACAATAATTTTTTTAAGTTATATATAGTTGGAAATTCCCAATACAATTCTGGCAAATAAAACTTTACGTAGTTCAATATAATGTTTACAGATCAATACGAAATGATCTTCATCTTCAACAGGCATATTGAAAACAGGACACATACGTAAACATGATTCAATCGATTGCCATCTACCCTCGTTCTGTCGTAAATGTAAAACATTTTATTTACATCTTAATTTAATAAAAAACACTGCGTTCATGTTTACTATTGTAAATACTCAAATATCTTTCAGGTTCAAACAGTGTTTATATTCTTTATACATTACATATCGGGTACTATTGTTGAGAGTTGACATCCAGTTTTGACGAAATTTATCTACAAGACACGTTTTAAATACCCCAATGAAAGCTATATTGTACCCAAGAGACTGGTTTAACCATACAAATCCCAAACCATGCGAAAATAAAATGTTACGAACAGATGCTACCCAAGTATTATGACCAATGTTGTCGAAATACATCAACATGTTTTCTTGGGAATCCACCTTCGTGCATTCTTGTTAACTTTAACCAATACGTATAATATACGCCTGCACAAATCACCAAGGATTTACCACAGGTTAACAACTCATGCAGGTGAACTCCTTTCAAATTTCAATTCAGTTTCATTCAGTGGAATTACTTAAATCCATGCAATGTTAGGCAAATCCAAGGCAGATCGGTGTACGAATGACTATCCTGGTTGTAACACATTCTTGTATGAGAATAACACATTCTTGTATGAGAATAACACAATCTATCTCAGTACCTGGTGGGATAGTGTATGTCGGAATGCCATTGCTGTCACTGAACTGTGAGAGGTCAGCTCTTAGTGCACGCACATTAGATTGTATTTCTTTAGCAGTATGAGGCACCTTGTTCTTCATCCCTCGATGATTTGTGGAATGACAACTTTATCATCTAAAACTGGCTCCCATAGGAGATATCGCTTGGGTGAGATCAAGCGATATCTACACTGCAGATATCGCTGCAATGACATTGCATCACAACGCTTTGCAGACATCACTAATGGCTCTGCTACTGATGCTGTTAGCAGCACTTTTTACGCTTAAGACGCTGCTTGTTACTGTCTACAAACTGAAAAAGTTGACATCAAATATATCAACACTACTATGAATCATTGAAGAACTTCTCCAGTTAATACACTTTGTTTTGTACCATTTTCAAAATTGAACCATAAAATACTGAAAATATTTACCTGATAGCCACCTTGCTGTCTGCCCTTGGACAATATCCTTTCAGAACAAGTTTAATATAAGGCTTTCATCCCCAACATTACCAATTATCGAAAACCCAATCAAAAGAGTTTAACCAATGGCAACCAATGAAATCAATGGATACATTTGATGTAACCAGCTTGGCATTATCAACTAGTGTAAAAAACGATTGAGGCTCTCACAAGGTTATAAAGGTTTAACTGTCACGCTATATCCACTCCCGGACTCAACCTTGATAAAAGCAACTATAACAGAGTTATAACAACAGAGGTTTTCTAAAAAGCAGATACAGTGAGGTTTGTTGTAGGCGGATGGAGAAACTTATAGCGCTTTCTTTTTGCTGGATACTGAGAGGTTTCTTGTAGGCGAACACAGTGAGGTTTGTTGTAGGGGGAAGGCGAAAGTGTAGGCCAAGAGAGGGATGTTCGTTGCATGAGGGATAGTTTTGCTGTAAACGGATACTATGAGTTTTCTTGTAGGCCGATAGACGGAGGTTTGTTCATGGCCTTTAGAGAGAGGTTTCTCGTTGGCCGATAGAGAGAGGTTTTTTATAGACCGATGGAGGCTTGTTGATGGCGGATAGAGAGGTTTCTTGTAGGCCGAAAGAGGGAGGTTTGTTGTTGGCTAATAGAGAAAGGTTTTTGTAGGCTGATAGGTAGGTTTGTTCCTGGAGGCGGCGAGAGGGGTTTCTTGTAGGCCGATAGGGGGAGGGTTGTTGTTGGCTAATAGAGAGAGGTTTGTTGTAGGCCAAAAGAGGGAGGTTTGTTGTTGGCTAATAGAAAGAGGTTTCGTGTAGGACGATAGCGAGTTTTGTTCCTGGAGGCGGAGAGAGGGGTTTCTTGTAGGCCGATAGGGGGAGGGTTGTTGTTGGCTAATAGAGAGAGGTTTCTTGTAGGCCGATAGGGAGGTTTGTTGTTGGCTAATAGAAAGAGGTTTCGTGTCGGACGATAGCGAGTTTTGTTCCTGGAGGCGGAGAGAGGGGTTTCTTGTAGGCCGATAGGGGGAGGGTTGTTGTTGGCTAATAGAGAGAGGTTTCTTGTAGGCCGATAGGGAGGGGTTCGTTGTTGGCGGAAAGAGAGAGGTTTCTTGAAGGCCGAGGCTTGTGGTTTGTATATTTGTATCTTTGTTTGTTGTTTGACGCCACACTCAGCAATATTCCAGCTGTATGACGGCGGTCTGTAAATAACCCAGTGTTTACCAGACAATCCAGTGATTGATATCATGAGCATCGATCAACGCAATTGGGATACGATAGAGGTAGATTTGCTGCAGGCAATGCATACTTGATTAGGTTCCCTTCCTGATATTCGTGAAAAATGAAAGAATAAAGGAGCTTCATTAATACAATTAACACCAATCATTAATACCATTAACTCCAATCATTAATATCATTGATGTTTAATTTGAGCTGTCAATATTGAAGTCGTTCAGCAAGTCTACATGCATTCGACATATCAACTTGTGTCCGGAATATAAAGAGGAACATTTTCCTGTCATACAGTATTGATCTTTAAACAAGGATCAAATTAGTCAAAATAAAAAGGAAACGAAGACATCAACATGCAGTATTTACATTTCCCAATAGTTTCGGAATCAATGTATTCTTGTCACATGAAAACAAACCCCCCATAAATGAAACATCAATATCAATGGAAATCCATTATTCTTTCATTCTTAAAGAAATCAGGAAGGGAACCTCATCAAGTATTCATTGTATTGGCATTCTACATTTTGTAATCGTGCTATCAGTTATTTGCCTTTTAATGCCACACTGTGTATGCTGATTCCAAGGACGGGGACAAGGGGCATTGCTGCATCAGTTATTTCTAACTACATTTAATAGTTCGCTAGATAACCATGTTGATTACAACGACGGGGACAAGGGGCATTCCTGCATTAGTTAATACTAACTGCGTTTAATAGTTCGCTTGATAACCATGCTGATGTGTCGGATGCTAAGACAGGGTAATTGTCGTGTCTAAACAGATAATATAGGCTGATAAGCTGTGATCTCCCAAACTAACATAGAAAGACAACACTTTATCGTATCCTTGGCAAATCATCGTTCTGTGGCTATTATAGAGTCAGGAATGGAAGGACTAGTCGTCAAATCTTGTTTCTATTTATCTTTAGCCTCTGCATTGACGTGATGTCATGTAACGTTTAGCATGTTTAAGTAATCACTTCGCAGTGACCTGTCTGTTTGGTTTTATGTTCTACTAGATTCAGGCAGTATATATACTTAATAATATATATTATTAAACATATGTAAACGAACGAGACTATAATATGATGTATCATTTCATATATCAATGAAACTGAGTATTTGTAATTAGTCAATTTAATAAAAGATCGTTTACAAACTACATTTGACATAATAATTTTACAAATACATTTTGACCCGTGAAGATCCGGCGTAGAATAGGTCTTCAGCAACCCCTACTTGCTGTAAAAGGCGAGTATGCTTGTCGTAAGAGGCGACTAACAGGATGGGCTGGTCAGGCTGCCTGAATTGGTTGATGCCTGTCATCGTATCCCAACTGCGTGGATCGATGCTCATGATGTCAATGACTAGATTGTCTGGTCCAAACTCCATTATTTACAAACTAACGTCATTTAACTGGAATCTTGCTATGTTCGGCGTTAAACAACAACAACAATATATCCTACCGCGCCTTCTCTATATTCTACCGCGCCTATCATATATCCTGCCACGCTTAATATAGTTCTACCGCGCCTACTATTTATCCTATATGCTTGTTGTAAGAGGCGATTAACGGGATCGGGTGGTCAGGCTCGCTGACTTGGTTGATACATGTCATCGATCCAAATTGCGTGGATCGATGCTCATATTAATCACTGGATTGTCTGGTCCAGACTGGATTATTTACAGACCGCCGTCATATAGCTGGAATATTGCTGAGTGCGGCGTTAATCAACAAACCAACCAATCAACCAATTTATCCTACCGAGCCTATTTTATATCCTATCGCGCTGATACCTGCACAAGTACATACTCTTTGTTGTTTTTCTAGCTGTTTCAACAGATAATATATATCCTACTTGCTTCTTTTAGTTTTTTTACCCCTCCTATACCACCGCATCTGCCATGTGTATCCTTCCGCGCCTATACCAATTCCAACCATTCGTCACCACTCGCCCCTTTTCGTAACCCGCAAGAAGACTCGTCCCCCTATCGATGACTGTCATGTGCGAAAATACGACAAACCAATCAGAATGCGCTTATGATTTCAAGTTCTTCGTCAAAGAATCCCTCAGAAATAATTTTTGATTTTACACATGTCTTGCATTTAAAAATATACACAAGACACAGTTAAATGTGTTCAATCATACTGTATAATTCCGCATGTCTAGATGAGATTTAAATTGCATCTGAAATATATATAGTATGTGGGGAAATGTATGTGAACCACTACGCAACGAGTGGACAATTGTTTTAGGTATGCCCGTTTGCGCTAAGACGGAACCCGGTCGCAAAAATGGCCATGAGAGGGGCACGAGTCGCTATTCGGCTTGTCCCGGTTATCTCGAGTTGGTCACGAATGCAATTCCAACACGAGAACATACTTTTTGGCATTATTCATATGGATTTTTTGCTAGTTGTTTGAACAGACTGAAGAATGACGGGCATGTTTGATACCTTATACATAATCCATGATCCACAAAATACATAATGAGGGCGTGTATCACGTGCGTCATAACATAACTCAATACTGATGCGCAGAACAACGTACATTGTCTGAAGTTTCCCGCATTCATTTCCGGACATTGATTTGGAACTAAATGCTCGAGCTCTTTTTGCTGATCACATGAATAGTGTTCCTGTTTCTGTCCCTGCCATCGTTCACCCATGGCCACGTGTTATTTTTAGAGACATGTTGATATTGAGACTTGTTGGATATACAGGCATATGCATTGCGGTTATACAGCTGATAATCATTGTGGGTTCATATGTCTTCATTTTATTGATTTGGCTCCAACATTTCCGCAATTTCGCGCCGACATTTCCGCAATTTCGCGCCAACATTTCCGCATTTCCTTGTCAATATTGATAGCTGCTAATAGATTAAACAATAATTGATTTGTCTTTCACATGCGCGGACTCACGCTGTAATGTAGCTGTGCATGTCTGTTCACGTTATCACCCCGTGTCTTATTCGTCTCAAAAAGGGTAAAATTGAAGAGCTTAGAGCCATAAGGGCCATGTCATGTGAAAAAAAAGTAATAAAAAACATAACCTTATGCCTGCTAATGAACTTAGATAAATTCCTAAACTTTAACACATTGTGACAGCAGACATATAAATGTTGCTATAAAACATTCAAAACAAATGTCTGTAATTTGGCCCTTTTTACCTTCAGGCATTTGCATGGGATTTAACATGTGAGATTGATAGAATAACTCCTGAATGTATAAACACATACTATTGAAGCTCTTTTTAATGATATAAACTAATGCCAACTTTGTTGAAATAGTTGAAACATACTAATAATGTTTCCAAAGTTTCAGTGTCTCTTGAACAATCAGTCTCAACCACACACGAAAATGAGAGCTAAAAGGGCCAAAATCTATCAAAGTGACTTGACTTTGGCCCTTTTACAGAATTTTAAGGAGCTATATTTCAAAAGCTTATCAATGAAAACATACAATATGTTTTCTACAAGTAAGCAAGGACTCATAGAGGTTATTTATGCCATTTTATGAAAAAAGGGACAAAGCAAATTGTACCCTTTTGGCTCTAAGCTCTTCAGTTAATTACTGTTACCAAGGCCCTTCGTGAACAGTGGGGAACAGTAAACATCACAAGGTGTCAGCTATGTCTGAGTGAGAAGCCTGAGCTGAACGTCCACAACTTTCGCGAGACACACCCAGCGAATCTGAGGTTCGAATCCCCAACGCTTTCATTTATTTCATGGTCAAGGTATCTTCTGTCTCAAGATTAACCATAATCCTTAATACAATTAAGTACGGGCTGTCTTTATATTCGCAGAATGT